GTTTCTTTAAAATATTACAGTATTTAAATTTTAATTGTTGAGAAGAAAAGTGCAGCAGGACATCAAAGGGTTAACCCTTCACACAACTGATGCAGCACGGAGCAGAAATGCACTTCTTGATCAATTACACTGTATTAATCAATCAATCAACTTTATTTCTATAGCACATTTTAAAAAACGCAAGGGTTGCCAAAGTGCTGTACAATAAGACAAAAAGACAAATTAATTAAGACAATAAAAACATACAAAGCATACACAAAGAAACATAAAAACATACACATACCAGTTTCACGGCAGGTGTGTTAAGATGCCATAAAAGATAAGATCATGTGTTAAAAGCCAAAGAATAAAGGTGTGTTTTTAAAAGAGATTTAAAAACAGGAAGAAAGGAGGCCTGTCTGACACTCAAGGGTAAGTTGTTCCACTCACCTGGGAGCAACAACAGCAAACGCTCTGTCACCTCTGAGCTTCAGCCTAGTTTACGGCATGTCAGCAGCAACCGATCAACTGATCTTAGGGATCGGGGAGGGCAGTAAGGCTGAAGCAGCTCAGACAGATATGGTGGGGCAAGGTTGTTCAAACATTTAAAAACAAACAGCAAGAGCTTAAAATGAATTCTGGAGTGCACAGGGAGCCAATGAAGGGATGCCAGGATGGGAGTAATATGCTCGTGCCTATGGGCTCGAGTTAACAGGCGAGCAGCAGAGTTCTGCACAAGCTGCAGACGGGCAAGAGAGGTCTGGCTAATGCCTGCATACAGCGCATTACAGTAGTCAAGACAAGCTGTGACAAAAGCATGGATTAATTTCTCCAAGTCTGGTCTTGCTAAGATTGGTTTCACTTTTGCTATTTGGTGAAGTTGATAAAAACTTTTCTGAACAACTTCTGATCTGTTTTTCAAATTCAAAATCAGACTCAAACTTCACCTCCAGATTGGTGACACAGTCCCTGAGATAAAATGACTGAGCCAAGATCTATACGGGGAGAAGGACAGCAACTCGGTCCAAACATCATAACTTCAGTCTTGTTCTCATTTAGACTAAGGAAGTTGAAAAAAAACATGCCTTAACATCATTAAGGCAGTGCGTAAGTTGCTGGAATGTGTTGTTTTGTGCCAGGGGAAAATAGATCTGGCAATCATCAGCATATAAGTGAAATGAAATGCCATGTTTCCTGAAAATAGAGCCGAGGGGGAGTAAGTAAAGAGCAAATAAAAGAGGGCCAAGGATTGAACCCTGGGAGACACCATGTGGAAGAGGAGCAGTGGAAGACATAAAATTGTCTATTTTTACGCAGAATCTCCTATTGGTTAAATACAACCGAAACCAATTGAAGACGACACCCCTGATGCCCACGCAGTGCTCAAGATGAGAGATTAAAATCCTGTGATCAATGGTGTCCAATGCAGCAGGCAAATCTAAGAGCACTAAAACAAGAAACTTTCCAGAATCTGTTGACAAGAATATATCATTATCATTACCAACTGAACATAGAAGTTCTAAAATAATTAAAAATTACTTTTAACACTTTTAAATTTTGTGATGATGACATTTTTACCATGTGACATACTTTGAATTTTAAGTTGGAAGACAAAAGTCGATCAGTGCGTCTGGACAGCAAAGGGTTAACCCTTCAGGAAGCTGCTTCAGCACGGAGCAGAAATGTGTGCTTGTCAGAGAGCCGCAGGTGGCAGAGAGCGGAGATCATGACAGGCTGCAGAGGGAGCTTCTCCTTGCACCTGTGGGAGGTGCTAAATCATTTAAAATAATTTATTTTAAACAAACAATCCATGCTGTTCGTGTGGCTCATCCATCAATCAGCCAATTGTGTGTCATGTCCACTCTTATTTTGAAAAACCAAGAAAGAGCGAGTCCGAGAAACCACAAAGTAGCGAGGGACTACTGTATAATAAATAATTGTATTTGTTGCCTTCAGATTCACAAGATCAAGTCCACTTTTGTTGATGGGATCCTCTCATGCATGAAGAGCAAGGTGAGCCTGTAAATGTCTTTTATATCAAGAAGCATCACTAAATCCAAATCTGTTCACACACAGTTTACAACCTAGGTTTACAGGAATAGTTTGCTCAGCTTTAAGTACGCTTTTTAAAAAACTCTTCTCGGTCAAACAACAAAACAAAAATAAAAATATTTTCTTTAGTGAAAGACAAAAAAGTCCCACAGCTGTGTGCCACTGGAGAAATCCTTTGTCACAGTCAGTAATGTAGTGAGTTGTAAGAGTAAGCCTAAATACTTTGGATAGCTTGGCAGAAAAATACTAATCCAGAGTGATGAGCTCTTGCTCTGCACCTACTGCACAGAGCTGTCACGTCTGGATTGTGTTTCCTAATGAGTCACTTCCTTTCTCTGCCAGTATGGTGAAAAACAATCTTTTTTTCTGACTGTCCTTCAACACAGGCCTCATTTGAGCCTCACATATGGAGAGCTGCAGCTTTTGTTTGTCAAATCTGTGCTTCAACTCAGCAAAGTCAGTCTGTTTGGCTGTTGACGGTGGTGATTCACTCAGTGTTTCTTTGGCCAGCAAGCAGCAATCCCAGCAAGGAAAGGGTGCCTAAAACACAACCACATACACAACTTTAGCCATAACTCTTAAATTCTTGATTTTGTGCAACTGTAAAAACCTAAATAAAACCTAAGATAGGCGGATAGGTGCAGCGTCTGCAGTGAAGCGGGCGCTGTACAGGTCTGTCGTGGTGAAGAGAGAGCTGAGTCAAAAGGTGAAGCTCTCAATTTACCGATCGATCTACGTTCCCACCCTCATCTATGGTCACGAGCTTTGGGTTGTGACCGAAAGAATGAGATCTCAGATACAAGCGGCCGAAATGAGTTTTCTCCGCAGGGTGTCTGGGCTCTCCCTTAGAGACAGGGTGAGAAGCTCGATCATCCGGGAGGGACTCGGAGTAGAGCCGCTGCTTCTCCACGTCGAGAGGAGCCAGTTGAGGTTGCTTGGGCATCTGTTTAGGATGCCTTCTGGACGCCTCCCTGGTGAGGTGTTCCAGACACGTCCCACCGGAAGGAGGCCCAGAGGAAGACCCAGGACACGCTGGAGGGACTATGTTTCTCGGCTGGCCTGGGAACGCCTCGGGATTCCCCCGGAAGAGCTGGCCCAAGTGGCTGGGGAGAGGGAAGTCTGGGCCTCCCTACTTAGGCTGCTACCCCCGCGACCCGACCCCGGATAAGCGGAAGAAAATGGATGGATGGATGGATGGTAAAAACCTAAATTAGTAATGAGAAGAAATTAAGGCTTAAACAAACCTTAAGCTGTCAATAAATGTCGCCACCTTCTTTTCTAACTTGCAAAGCTTCCAGTTTTTGTCGGAGTCAGACACTTAACTGCAGTCTTGAGCCCAAATCTTGTGTATTACTTATTAACATAACTGGAACCACAGTGTGCAAACAGATTGC